CTCTTGAAGTAAATCCGAACGTGACGCAGCATGAAGTATTCAGCCAGAGGCAACTACATGTACAGTAATTTATGACAGGAATGTCACCAATGTTCTGACAGTGAAGGTAATTGATCTGCATGGAGGCCCCGTGTTCCATGTAAGGAAGTAATGACTTTTCGTCATCTATATTATGACTACACTTTGTGGTTGACAGTGACAGATATTCCTTCTATTGTCTTCGCAAATAGAGACCGAAGTGAAAATACCTTGATTGTAATGATCACACAAATGGAAACATCGCGAGAACGGAATATAATTTGATCATGTTCGGTAATGATGGTGCATACTAGATTAAGAAGAGACGAATGTTTTCTGTGGAGTCACGTTTCAAAATTCTTGTGTACAAGGGTATATTAGTAATGAGATAAACAAACATCAATGATGTTTTCATAGTGAATCATAATGAGGTATTTTGTCACGAAATAATAATTCCACGACACGGATCTTCTCCAACATGTTTCACTTTTATCTTCAGGAAGAAGTGATTACATCTGATCTTTCCCTGAAGATAAAAGTGAAACGTGTTGGAGAGGATCCGTGTCGTGGAATTATTTCAGAAATATCTTGAAATATGAATATGAGCAAGTCTTTGAACAAAGTTCATTTTCAAAGAAGATTTTCATTTGAACTTAGAAAGGTCTTCTTGAAACGATTCCGCAACATAAAACAATGATATTTCCAACGGGTAAGAAAATAACACACTTTATCCTTCCCTCTCCAAACGTGTTCTCCGAAATCACTTGTTAAAACCCTTTTGTATTATGGGCCATGGCTTTGAATACTCGAAATAAGTTTTCTGTCTGTCTGTCTGAAATCATGTCATTAAAATCTAAATAAGCTTCATGAATTGTTGATACAAATCCTCCACTGCTTGTTTCCAAATAACACGTTGTTAGTCAAGATTTGTTGGTATGAAAAGATTCTTAATATTCCACCTGAAGGGGTGGTGGGGTAGCCTCGTGGTTAAAGCGTTCGCTCGTCACGCCGAAGACCCAGGTTCGATTCTCCACATGGGTACAATGTGTGAAATCCAATGCTTTTGGTGGAATAGTGCTGAAATCGGCGTAAAACTAAACTCACTCATTCGCTCTAACCAGGTGATCGCGTACTCACTCCACCTGAACATATTTGAAATTCAGTGCGTCATCATTTTCTTCAAAGAAGCAAATCTAATAAGTATACCATAATAGGTGTGTAATATTAACACTTTGAAAACACTTTGGTAATCTGAAAATGTTACCTGCAGACAGATAAGACAAAATATTATGGATGTCAACTTCTTCTTTATTGTACAATAAAGAAGTTGACATCCATAATATTTTGTCTTATATATGACTAAGCCATCTGAAACTGGGACATATACTGTGCAGAGCTAGGTCCCTTAACACTAACATGGAATGCTGTTCGAAGACAAAGGAGTAGCTTGCTTTACACAAAATAAGTAACTGTGACTGATCACCATCGCCACACCATCGATCACCCTGTTTCATTAGGCTAACACGCCCATATAGAGCAATGGATGCTTGTTTGATAAAACTTGTTTGTTAACAGTGTCAGCATCTACATCTATGACAATAAAGAAGTTGTCAAATCTCATTAGGCTAACACGCCAATATAGAACAATGTATGCTTGTTTGACAGAACTTGCTTGATAACAGTGTCAGCATCTACATCTATGACAATAAAGAAGTTGTCAAATCTCATTAGGCTAACACGCCCATATAGAACAATGTGTGCTTGTTTGATAGAACTTGCTTGATAACAGTGTCAGCATCTACATCTATGACAATGACAATAAAGAAGTTGTCAAATCTCATTAGGCTAACAGGCCTATATAGAGCAATGGATGCTTGTTTGATAGACATTGTTAGCATAACATTGTCACGTCACATCTATTGCAATAAAGAAGTTGTCAAATCTCATTCGGCTAACAGGCCTATATATAGCAATTGATGTTTGCTTGACAACATTGTCAGCATCTACACCGTAACGTCACATTTATTGCAATAAAGAAGTTGTCAAATCTCATTAGGCTAACACGCCTATATAGAGCAATGGATGCTTGTTTGATAGAACTTGCTTGATAACAGTGTCAGCATCTACATCTATTGCAATAAAGAAATTGTCAAATCTCATTAGGCTAACAGGCCTATATAGAGCAATGTATGCTTGTTTCACAGAACTTGCTTGATAACATTGTCAGCATCTACACACAAACGTCACAATCTCATTAGGCTAACAGGCCCATGTATAGCAATTGATGTTTGCTTGACAACATTGTTAGCATCTACACCGTAACGTCACATTTATTGCAATAAAGAAGTTGTCAAATCTCATTAGGCTAACAGGCCCATATAGAGCAATGGATGCTTGTTTGATAGAACTTGCTTGATAACAGTGTCAGCATCTACATCTATTACAATAAAGAAGTTGTCAAATCGCATTAGGCTAACAGGCCCATATAGAGCAATGGATGCTTGTTTGATAGAACTTGCTTGATAACAGTGTCAGCATCTACATCTATTGCAATAAAGAAATTGTCAAATCTCATTAGGCTAACAGGCCTATATAGAGCAATGTATGCTTGTTTGATAGAACTTGCTTGATAACAGTGTCAGCATCTACATCTATTACAATAAAGAAGTTGTCAAATCGCATTAGGCTAACAGGCCCATATAGAGCAATGGATGCTTGTTTGATAGAACTTGCTTGATAACAGTGTCAGCATCTACATCTATTGCAATAAAGAAATTGTCAAATCTCATTAGGCTAACAGGCCCATATAGAGCAATGGATGCTTGTTTGATAGAACTTGTTTGATACACAGTGTCAGCATCTACATCTATTACAATAAAGAAGTTGTCAAATCTCATTAGGCTAACAGGCCCATATATAGAGCAATGGATGCTTGTTTGATAGAACTTGTTTGCATAACAGTGTCAGCATCTACATCTATTACAATAAAGAAGTTGTCAAATCTCATTAGGCTAACAGGCCCTATATAGAGCAATGGATGCTTGTTTGACAAGAACTTGCTTGATAACAGTGTCAGCATCTACATCTATTGCAATAAAGAAGTTGTCAAATCTCATTAGGCTAACACGCCTATATAGAGCAATGGATGCTTGTTTGATAGAACTTGCTTGATAACAGTGTCAGCATCTACATCTATTGCAATAAAGAAATTGTCAAATCTCATTAGGCTAACAGGCCTATATAGAGCAATGGATGCTTGTTTCACAGAACTTGCTTGATAACATTGTCAGCATCTACACCCAAACGTCACAATCTCATTAGGCTAACAGGCCCATGTATAGCAATTGATGTTTGCTTGACAACATTGTTAGCATCTACACCGTAACGTCACATTTATTGCAATAAAGAAGTTGTCAAATCTCATTAAGCTAACAGGCCTATATATAGCAATTGATGTTTGCTTGACAACATTGTTAGCATCTACACCGTAACGTCACATTTATTGCAATAAAGAAGTTGTCAAATCTCATTAAGCTAACAGGCCTATATATATATAGCAATTGATGTGTTTGCTTGACAACATTGTTAGCATCTACACCGTAACGTCACATTTATTGCAATAAAGAAGTTGTCAAATCTCATTAAGCTAACAGGCCTATATATAGCAATTGATGTTTGCTTGACAACATTGTTAGCATCTACACCGTAACGTCACATTTATTGCAATAAAGAAGTTGTCAAATCTCATTAAGCTAACAGGCCTATATATAGCAATTGATGTTTGCTTGACAACATTGTTAGCATCTACACCGTAACGTCACATTTATTGCAATAAAGAAGTTGTCAAATCTCATTAAGCTAACAGGCCTATATATAGCAATTGATGTTTGCTTGACAACATTGTTAGCATCTACACCGTAACGTCACATTTATTGCAATAAAGAAGTTGTCAAATCTCATTAAGCTAACAGGCCTATATATAGCAATTGATGTTTGCTTGACAACATTGTTAGCATCTACACCGTAACGTCACATTTATTGCAATAAAGAAGTTGTCAAATCTCATTAAGCTAACAGGCCTATATATAGCAATTGATGTTTGCTTGACAACATTGTTAGCATCTACACCGTAACGTCACATTTATTGCAATAAAGAAGTTGTCAAATCTCATTAAGCTAACAGGCCTATATATAGCAATTGATGTTTGCTTGACAACATTGTTAGCATCTACACCGTAACGTCACATTTATTGCAATAAAGAAGTTGTCAAATCTCATTAAGCTAACAGGCCTATATATAGCAATTGATGTTTGCTTGACAACATTGTTAGCATCTACACCGTAACGTCACATTTATTGCAATAAAGAAGTTGTCAAATCTCATTAAGCTAACAGGCCTATATATAGCAATTGATGTTTGCTTGACAACATTGTTAGCATCTACACCGTAACGTCACATTTATTGCAATAAAGAAGTTATATCAAATCTCATTTTAGCAACCGTAACGTAACAGTTGTCAAATCTCATTAAGCTAACAGGCCTATATATAGCAATTGATGTTTGCTTGACAACATTGTTAGCATCTACACCGTAACGTCACATTTATTGCAATAAAGAAGTTGTCAAATCTCATTAAGCTAACAGGCCTATATATAGCAATTGATGTTTGCTTGACAACATTGTTAGCATCTACACCGTAACGTCACATTTATTGCAATAAAGAAGTTGTCAAATCTCATTAAGCTAACAGGCCTATATATAGCAATTGATGTTTGCTTGACAACATTGTTAGCATCTACACTGAAACGTCGCATCTATTGCAATAAAGAAGTTGTCAGTCCATAAAACGTGTTTCCTCTTAACTGATTAACCACTGTAATTAAATAAATCGACGAAGTATTTTGTTCCAACACATGTCCATATGATCTTAGGGTAAACTACATATAATCCTTTGTCATTTGTATGTGCAACAAACCAGCAATAAGAATTAAGACTTGTTTTATTCAAAGTTTTAGAAGCATTTCCGTAAATGTAGCAGCATCTGTAACTGCTTCACTTCATCTTTCATAATCCATCTCTGCAAAGAAAGACACAGGAGAGGTGTTGAGTGTTTAATAGGGGAGGTATTGACAGAAAACGCTGTCACCTAAATAATGCAATCTTTGGATTTTCTGAAGTTAAAATAACATCAACGCTAATTTGTTTTGTTTATTTCCTTATAATAAGATATACATAATGGATTCTCGACTAGACAAACCGATGACTGATATTATGATAACATCCACCTTGTCGGATACGATGACACCGAATCGAGCAGGACACTGACCACCTGACCCATGACTTGGCTCCCATGACAATGTTGTGAAGTTCATTCTGGCCCAAAGGTTGAAAAACATTTAGGACTGTTAGATATATTGTAGGTTTAGGTAATCGTAACTTATATTCTGTGATGGTACCCTTATCTTCGAGAACCCTCGAACAAGTTCGAAATATGTCTCACCCTTGAAGGTCCGGGTTAGAATAGTAATCTCCAGCAACCCATGCTTGTCGTAAGAGGCGACTAACGGGATCGGGTGGTCAGGCTCGCTGACTTGGTTGATACATGTCATCGGTTCCGAATTGCGCATCGATGCTCATGCTGTTGATCACTGGATTGTCTGGTCCAGATTCGATTATTTACAGACCGCCGCCATATAGCTGGAATATTGCTGAGTGCGGCGTAAAACTAAACCCACTCACTCGAACTATGTCTATTAAGCTTTAACTCTTTCTAAACTGTCTAATTTGAAGCATTGTCATTATGAGTAAGTAAGTGAAGTTTCAAGCTACCCCAGTTCAATCTAAAACTTCCCTGGTTATATAACAACATGTAGGCTTAATGTTGCAGAAAGAAATCTTAGATCCACAGGCACGGATATGGATCGGGAAAAATAATCGGGCAGATTCGAAACAACTATAATTGACTTTCGATAACTTTGTTTCAAGTAAACAAGTTGTCAAATTGCACGATTGTTGTCATGCCAACGATGTGTTAAATGCCATACGTACACCCGAGGGTGTTATCTGCATACTTACATCCAAGGGTATGTTACATGTGATACTTACAGCTAAGGATGTGTTACATGCCATACTTACAGCCAAGGATGTGTTACATGCCATACTTACAGCCAAGAATGAATTACATGCCATAAATACAGCCAAGGTTGTGTTAAATGTCATGCTTACACCCAAGGATTTTTCACATGTCATACTTACAGCCAAGGATGTGTTACATGCCATACTTACACCCAAGGATGTGTTACATGCCATACTTACAGCCAAGAATGAATTACATGCCATAAATACAGCCAAGGTTGTGTTAAATGTCATGCTTACACCCAAGGATTTTTCACATGTCATACTTACACCCAAGGATGTGTTACATGCCATACTTACAGCCAAGGATGTGTTACATGTCATATTTACACCCAAGGATGTGTTACATGTCATACTTACACCCAAGGATGTGTTACATGTCACACTTACACCCAAGGATGTGTAACAATGCATGCTTACACCCAAGGATGTGTTACATGCCATACTTACACCCAAGGCTGTGTTACATGTCATACTTACACCCAAGGATGTGTTACATGTGATACTTACACCCAAGGATGTGTTACATGTCATATTTACACCCAAGGATGTGTTACATGTCATACTTAAACCCAAGGGTGTGTTACATGTCATACTTACACCCAAGGATGTGTTACAATGCATGCTTACAACCCAAGGATGTGTTACATGTCATACGTAAACCCAAGGATGTGTTACAATGCATGCTTACACCCAAGGATGTGTTACATGCCATACTTACACCCAAGGATGTGTTACATGTCATACTTACACCCAAGGATGTGTTACATGTCATACTTAAACCCAAGGGTGTGTTACATGTCATACTTACACCCAAGGATGTGTTACAATGCATGCTTACAACCCAAGGATGTGTTACATGTCATACTTAAACCCAAGGATGTGTTACAATGCATGCTTACACCCAAGGATTTTTTACATGCCATACTTACACCCAAGGATGTGTTACATGCCATACTTACACCCAAGGATGTGTTACATGTCATATTTACACCCAAGGATGTGTTACATGTCATACTTACACCCAAGGATGTGTTACATGCCATACTTACACCCAAGGATGTGTTACATGTCATACTTACACCCAAGGATGTGTTACATGTCATATTTACACCCAAGGATGTGTTACATGTCATACTTACACCCAAGGATGTGTTACATGCCATACTTACACCCAAGGATGTGTTACATGTCAAACTTACACCCAAGGATGTGTTACATGCCATACGTACACCCAAGGATGTGTTACATGTCATATTTACACCCAAGGATGTGTTACATGTCATACTTACACCCAAGGATGTGTTACATGCCATACTTACACCCAAGGATGTGTTACATGTGATACTTACACCCAAAGATGTGTAACAATGCATGCTTACACCCAAGGATGTGTTACATGTCATACTTACACCCAAGGATGTGTTACATGCCATACTTATACCCAAGGCTGTGTTACATTCACACTCATACCCAAGGGCGTGTTACATGCCATACTTAAAGCCAAGGGTGTGTTACATGTCATGTTTACAGTCAAGGATGTGTTACATGTCATACTTATACCCAAGGGTGTGTTACATGCCATACTGACAGCCAAGGATGTGTTACATGTCATATTTACACCCAAGGGTGTGTTACATGCCATACTTTTCCCAAGAGTGTGTTACATGCCATACTTTACCCAAGGGTGTGTTACATGCCATACTTACTGCTAAGGGTGTGTTACATGCCATGCTTACGCTTACGTTTGTGTTACACGATATACTTAAAACCAGTGATGTGTTACATGCCATACGTACACTCGAGGATGTGTTACATGCCATACTTACACCCAATGACGTGACGGCGATGGTAATAAGGCTCAGCATGTGGATAAAATGGTTCAGCTCGTGGATAATAAGGCTCAGCATGTGGATAAAATGGTTCAGCGTGTGGATATAGCACTCGACCACCACGGTAGTAAGGCTCTGGATAGGCGTGATAGCGGGACCTTGCATATGGAACATATGCCA